GGCCGTACCGGGGCCTGAGCTCCCATTCCCCCCCGAAGACGGCTCCAAGTCCCGGCCCAGAGTCCGGAGAGGGTGGGGGGACGAAGAGCCTCGGACCCACCAGCGGGCTCGGGTGGGGCAGAGAGAAGAGACCGCCAGGGCCAAAGACGGCCCACAGTGAGGGACACAGAGGCTTTACAAGAAGAGAAGGGGCCCCGCTCCACCCCTCCCGGCCCCCTTTACCGCTGTCCGTGCCCGTGCCCGCGCCCGCCGCCGCCCCGCGCCCACGTGGGCCCGCCACGGCCGCCGCCATCTTCCCCGGGGCTCCGCCGGCACCGCGCTCCGGCCCGGCCCCCGCGCCGCCAAAATGCGTTCCGGCTCCGAAGGTTCCGGGCAGACCGAGCGGCGGCTTCCGGAGCGGCTGAGGAGGGGTGAAATGGGACAGAAATGAGCTGCTAAATAAAGCACGGAGGGCTGCCCGGGCTCCTGCTCCTCCTGCAGCGCTGCCTGCCGCTGCTCCAGCGCAGGGCAGGGCCCAGCGACAGCCGGGGACCGCTCCTGCTCGGGCTGTCCGAGCCCTCGGGGGCGCCGAGTGCGGGGAAAGGTGGAGAGCGCCTTGGGAAACCTTCAGACCTGGCAAAGCCCAGCCTGGTTCGCGGAGACTCAGCGACCCACAAGGGTCCTCGAGTCCAACCCCTGGCCCTGCTCAGGACCATCCGCAAGAGCCACTCGGTGTACCGGGAGGTTGTTGGCTCCCACCTCAGGGAGCCACTGCGGGGGCGCGGGGCCACGATAAAAATAAATAAATAAATCAGCGTCCTGTTTGTGTGGGTTGCCTGGTGGGAAGAGTAGTTTGGAGTCTCCACAGCGCTGATGTCCTCAAAGAAACTTAGCCGTGCTTTCAAACGTTGCTTTAAGGCCCAAAAGGAGCTTTGACGTGGAGAGGGAATGAAAAACTGAATTTATCTTTCGTTGGCTTTTCAAGAAGGAAAAAAAAAAAAAAAGAGAGAAAAAGATAACTGACCATTTACTATATCCCGAAACATTTACCATATTCACACTGATACCACATACTGTTTTGAAGTCATTTGTTTTTTACATTAGAGATGTCCTCTGAGGATACTCACAGGGCACACTCTCAGTCTTTAAGGTTGGTCTGCCCTAGCTGGAATCTGTGGAAGGGATGAGCTCAATTCTCCTTGGATACCAAGAGGCAAGTGGGCCCTAGATAGGTGGATAGGTCATGGACCTTTTGTAAACAAACCACAGGTGTCTGTGATGGGCTGGGTTGTTATTCTTTACTTGACAACAACTGTATCCACCCAAACCATGCTGATCTAACACTTAGCATGAGTAGTTTAAGTCATAGATCACTGACTATGCTATACATTCTTTTACAAATTTTTCAGATTAACAGTTTGGGATGCTAGAAGTTTTTTGCAAACTCCAGCTGATGTACTAAAATCCCTTTCTCTAAATGGTAGTATTTGTTGTTAGCACTGGGTGTTCAGAAGAGCACACTGTCCCCTGTGTGTAGGGAAACAAAATTTCTCATGCGTTAGGTTAGAGAATTTATCTTAATAACGCTTATTTTCTGCCACTTCACAAACAGTGAATGGACATACAGATTTTAAAACCAGACTGTAACACTACCAGTCATCCAATTACTCAATTGCAGGCATCTGCAAGAAGTATGCCTTGCAAAAAGCACCACATAGAACACCAGAACTGTATAAGAAGCAAATCTTCTTAGGCAACCTCTTACGGAAAGGTGCTCTAAG